TTATTACAAAATACTTTCCACTAAAGTTTAATGTTGTATGAAAAAGTACTTTCTTGTAAAATATATATGTTGACAGACATAAGCTTATTGTACGATGATTGTCTAACGTCCATTGGCAAATATTTCACGAGTTTTGGGACGACAACACAGTGAAAACATTTTATGGATAAATACATTTGGAATCTCAAATTGAATTACCTAACTTAAATAAAGAAAATTGCAGCATATTGCTGGGTAAACGAATAATTCTCGCAAACTTTTAGAGATATAAATAAGAAGATTTGTGGTATGAGCGGCAATAAGATAATACTTCATGCAAGTAACAAAGTATAAAATATTATTAATCATAGGTCAAAGTACGGCCTTCAACACGAAGCCTTGTCTCACACCGAACAGCAGTATACGCGTATGGTCCAAATACTCATATTCTCCGGAATAAATACATTGTAAATTGCCTTTCAAAGTTCCTACATAAAGTAGCTATATAGGAACCTGCTACAAGTAAATAACGACACCGTAAAAGACTTCGAGAGCCCATAGCAAGAGTATACGGCTTGTACAGGGTATGATACGCCGTGTTATGGAACTGTACCGGAAGAGGGGTGATTACACATCCTAATTACTCAAATATTAACATGACATTTGCCTAACATACCAAAGATTATTTGTAAAAAAAATAACTATATGAGGTGATTAATTGTTGTAAAAAAATAAAATCCCAGTGGAACTTTAATTCCGTTTCTGATTTGTTTAATTTATACTTTTTCTATGAACGCCAAACTTACATGCTTGTTGTTCGGTGTGAGCCAAGGCTCCGTGTTGAAGGCCGTACATTGACCTATAATGTTTTACTTTTATAAATTGTTATTTTGATGGAGAGTTGTCTCATTGGCACTCATACCACATCTTCCTATATCTACATAAAACCTACATAAATAAACAATCTTAAGTTGATGGTTTGTTTTTGGTATATATTAGAAAAATTGCCACATGCATGTTTCTCTTTTTCGATGAATAATTGATTTTTTAAAATGAAAAACATTTCGATGAAATAAAAATACAATGTAGGTGGTGCTTAACTTTTGGCGGACTGTATATACATAAACACGTATGAACATTTTATGTAGACAAATTGTCATTTGCACGGTATTTAGATTTCAAATAAAACCCATATGAAGCATGTTAAGCAGTTCATGTATATCTTCAAATTTTATTTCTTTTAAGTCTGTTCCTATTCCAATATAGTATATTATGATGAGTTTATTTATATACTACTATAGACCCGCAGTTAGCATGTGTCACTGGTTTTGTATACATTTCGTTAAATTATCAGAAAGTACATCACTCCCAGCAGGTGCCTACCGATAACATTATCAACAAACACAGATGTGAACCAAAGAAAATCACATTCCTAATTATCTATGTTTACATTTTGAATTATAATATGATTAATATCATATGGCTATTTCTGTACAAGTGTTTACTCCATTGTGTTGTCGAACCATAAATATGCATATGAAGAACGTATTAGATACGGATCCCTTGTGTATACGCAGTCGACGTTTTTTGTCTTCTCCTTGGAATACTTTTTTTCAAATTGGTTTTGATTTTATCTGAAATGACTGAGCCAGATAAATTCTCTAACTAAAATTAAAATGAATGAAATCAAAATATGAAAATCATTTTAATTTATCAAACCCGTTATCAAAGTATCTGATACAAATGATGCATTTCTCTACCTGTAATCGACAGAAAAAGACATTCCCATCACCTCATTTCCACTCTAATGGCAGTACTAAAAAAGGTTGAAACGTTATTTACCATTAAAGGGTCTTATTCTTTTTTACAACAGCTATATATTACCCATTATTGACTACTGTTGTACAGTATGGGGTCTTACCACAAACAGAAATCTGGAGAGGATACATAAGCTCCAAAAACGTGCTGCAATATTAGTTTTATCTGTTTCTTTTGATTTTCAATCAACATTAATGTAAAAAACTTGCATGGATGACTATATTTACGAGGATACACTATGTTTAAGCTGTGTTAATGTTTAAATGTATGAATGGTCTAGAACCTGATTATCTATCTATTAAATTTACTGCTTGTGCTGATCTTTATAATTATTGTCTTAGGTCGACAACATCAGGACTTCTTCATGTACCAAGACCTAATTATGATTTTTTAAAAAGAACATTTAAATATTCTGGTTTTATTACCTGGAATAATTTACCAAATAATATTTATTATAAAGAAATAGATAATTTAGATACATTTAAGACCAACTGTTCAAACTATTTTCTAACTGAACAGAATAAAGATGCACGAAACTGATGTATTTTTCTTCTTCTATTGAATGCATATGTACTTATTCAATATTTAAGCTGCTATATTTAACTGTATTATGTATTTTATTTTGTATGTATTTTTATTTTATTTTTCTCTTTTCTATTTGTATTAATAGTTTTTGAAGGCCTCATGGAAGATTAACATGTCATTGTTAAATGTGTTACCTTCGTTAAATAAAGAATTTTATTATTATTTATTATTACTGATTTTCTTAGATTTTTTTCTGATTTATTATGATAAATCATGAGTAGTTCTGTTATTGTAAGTAGCTTGAAATGTCAATTTGATAAAAATAATGTATTTTGCCTGATCAGAAGTCTTCAATACGTGATATCATGACGTAGGATTGCCCTGAAGAATGAGACACCATTCCTTATTCTTTGGTTTCAACTGATATAACTGATTTTAGTCAATACTTTTAAGTTTTATCCTGCATTAACTTAAGAAAAAGTATAAAATCATTTTATGATTTTTTTCTTATAGAAATATCTGACAAATGTATGTAGAAATATGCACATAATAAGCTTTTAAATGTACAAATAGTTTCCAATTTAACTGGAATGTAGTGAACAAATTTTCTCCGATCAATTTATGCTGAGTAAAGATTTTCCCAAATAACAATAGGTTATTTACAAAATGTGTTTATATCTCTATGCCATAAAAAAAATGAAATGTATAAATACTTTGTGTTGCAATTTTGACTGGCACCCATAATTCTACAAATTTCATCTGTGAAGCATGAAATATCCGCCTCAATCGCATAGAATTGTAATGCCGATTTTTACACAGGCTATTGACAGGACGTAACAATTATTGTCATACTGCAGTTATCAGTTTTTGTAAAGAAATTGATTGTTAATCTCCCGTTGTTAGATTTATAACCGATTTTACAGTGTTTTTAGAAACATGTTTCTGTGAATGTGCATTATTTGCCGTCTATAATTTGTTTACAGAATTTATAAATTGAATATAAACTCGCAATTGACCTCCACGTGCATTATTGCTATGTCGTAGACTGATAAACTAGTATCAAACAAAATGATTCTTTCTTGTCAATAACATCCAACTTTAAATAATCTTCAGTCAAGTCTGATTTATATACTCAATGTGTGTAATAATACTCGTAATTCCAACCCAGATCCATAAATTCCTACATGTAAATTTCTCGATTTTTTCCGACATGAAATAACTATTATTAATTGAACATCGGTTATTAATTTATTTCCTGTTTAATATTCAATTTTAAAGTTCGACTTAGGCATTCGGCTTCTATGTATTCTTCCTTAAGTCACTAAGATATTTGGAGACAAATTGTTTCAGTGATTGGTGGATATTCATTACTTAATATCCAGTGGCAAATATCAAGGGTGAGGATTTAATTGTTCAAGACAAGCTACAAACTAAATAGAAACATAATATTTCTTGGTATCATGTAATTATATTATGTAACACTGGCAGGACGACGAAAAAGCCTATTTCAAATATACTGTAAAGATAATAATCTACATATTTAAAAAAAAGCATGAGCTAATTAGAAAATGAAGAAACGTAAACAGCATAGGAAAATGGGAGTTTGTTATACAACTTTCTATTTTATATAACTTATTATAATAATGAGTTGTCTTCCTTTCAACTTCGTTTACGACAAACATTGTCATCTCCCATGTCTCCCATGTCAGAGACAAATCCACTTTGATCCTATATTTCAATTAAATTATGAAATTTCATAATATTATGGTATTTCCTATTTGCCTCGACTGATCATTAATGAAAGTGAAACAGCAATTCGCTTTTAGCAGCCAGTTTACTTGCATTTTGTCAAAATAACCTCGAAGATGAATTATTCACATGCAAGTTAATGATTCAACATGTTCAACCTCATTGAATCTGTATTCATATGACCTTCAATTTAACATATTAGCAAGAGATTGGTTACGCATGTATTAGTCATGTTAAGCCATTAAAATGAAAATAATATCAACATTCAAAGTGAAACAAAGGTGACCATTTCGTTGACATATTAATCCACAAAACTCATTCTTATACGGGTAAAAACGATGATTAACATTCTATTTTTAAACTTATAACATAAAAATCAAACAGACATAGAACAGTTCAATTGCACGAGGTCGCTATCTATTTATATTTATGTTTATGTTTATATCAGGTTATATGACCATCGGCAGGCTCCGGAGGTCATCTCGATGATTGTTTGAATGGCGTCCAGACTAAAATACACACGAAATGATGATATATATCATCGAGTCCATGCACTGTTACCTGTTTATTTATATATAAATTTTAGTATGTTATAAATCAAATATGAGAATTTGAGTCAGATCGGTGAACAAGATTTTGACAGCTAATGGCCCTTTAGGTATTTTGTGTAAATTTTGTGGAAAGGTGTTTGTCTATCAGTTGTATTTTTTTTCATTGTGTTGTCTGATTTTATTGCCTCATTATTTTGATTACCCCTTGGTATCTCCCCCTCATTTGAATACTTAAACGTTAAGTTTCGGTATAATCAATATATTTGTTTTAAAGCGCATGTCCAAAATATGATTCACGTGCACTGAAACTAATAGCATTGTTTATATTATAGCATATTACTATATAGGTAAACTAAAAACTAAAATGTCACTACTCACAATACGGGTGTCGAATTGGGAATTTCAGACGGCACTGTTGCTAGATTTCTATTCTTGCAATCAACCGTCGTGTCCGTGCAGCTACATACAAGTGGACACCCATTGACTGTACATTTCAAAACAGTGCATATAATAAACACAATTATACGGTGCATTGTCTCCTACAATATACCTGCAAAAACAATTGCACTCTAAGGGGTATTATGTTAAATCAAAGATGTGGTGAAGGTATTGTAAAAAAGTAATAAAATGTTACCATTCTACTCCAGGTATTTTTGTATGTGCAACATAATCTTTATTTTTCAACAATTATATAAAAAGCAGCATATTTGAATAACAAAAAGGTTACACTTGTCGAACAACCGTTTGAAATGTATTTCAACTTCAATCTTAAACTACACCAATACGATCTCATTCGGATCATTTATGCATTTTTTTTTAATTTAGTCATAATTTGTAATTTCTAATGTTTCACTTAAACAGATTTAATTCCTTTTTTCGTCATTACCGATTTTGTTTTTCCAAATCATATTCATCATTCTAATTTGTGGAAAAACGTTTCAAAAAGACAAAAAATACTATGGGGTTATAGAAAATCGCAGATTGAAGAAAAACAGACACTCTATGGTAAAATGGAAAACTACAAAAGTCCGCAATACACTTAAATCAACTACCGTGCTAAAACGAGATACACGAAATACCCAGCAATCGTGATACAACAAGATTTGTTATAAGACAAAAAAGAAAACAACCTTGAAATGCGCTAGTTGCATTCCGTCATAACATATTATCATCTGAACATTTATTATATTTACTCCTCTAGTTTATTGACATTTATGCAGCAGGAAAGCAGATCTTTTCATAAATTTGCTAAGAATACTAGTTATCATGGTTATTTATTATATAGATGATGGTTATTTATGTAAATTTTAGATTTCGCATGTGAAACAACTCGTTTGTTTCTACTCTTGAGACTTTTCCCGCTATTTTCAGATCACTACAGGTATGTTCCAATTATTTGTACTGTCACTTAATGTTTGTTTTTGTTGCACTTCGGTGTTCCTGTTGTTCCTTTGTTGTCCTCTTATAGTTGATGTGTTCCCCTAGATTTAGGTTTTTAAACCGGATTTGTTTTCTCTAAATTGATATGTGACTTTTGAACACCGGTATACTACTGTTGCCTTTATTTAATGTTGTCATTTTAGCGGTGTTTTAACATTTGCGATATAAATAATGGCAACAGTAGTATACCGCTTTTCAATAGTCATAAATCGATTAAGCGAAAACAAATCAGGGTCACAAATCAAAACAAACTATTCGATAACAACTGCCATATTCTTGGCTTGGTACATGACATTTTAAGAAAAAATGGTTGGTTGAACTTGTTTTATGGCTATATATCTTTGAGGTTTTTGTGTCCGGTTAGGGAGGTGATAGAATCTCTTTTAAGTAAGGATCATTTTCAATAAGACGCGAGTATTTGTGGACAATAGTTGAAAGATATTCATCCAAAGTATCTAAACACGAGACATCGAAAATAGGAGATTATAAACCATGCGGAAGAGACAACTGTAAGAGTTGCAAAGTCGCTGACATTGAAACACCAATTCGTCAGCACAATCACAAAAAAAAAAGAAAACAACATATATATTACATCCAATTGCAAAACACAAAATTGTATTCATGTTCTCACGATGTAATATGTTGGTGAAACAGAAATTCTGTCTATTTCAAATTTATTAGCTGTATGTAATAACTCAGCGCTAGAAAAATGCATGTGTACTTTAAAAAAAAATCAATACGTATGTGATTACGAAAGCCGACGTAGAGTACCGAATCTCTCTGAAACCAAAAAGAGCCATGACTACGACAGCCGAGAACATGGAGAAGGGTCATTCATAATTCAAAATTCTAAATTCTACATTATAAATTCAGAACTCGCAAATCAAGAAATATAATCTTGTTTTATTGCCGACCTTTCAAAAAACTAAATTTTTCTGTAAACACTATAAAATTTCCAATATTTATTTGCGTTTTATCAAGATCTTGATTATACCCAGTAATCCTTTTTTACAAACAGGTAAGCGTTATATCTATGGACAGAGATAGCAATCTTTTCATTTCTTCAATGAAGTTTTGAATTTTATAACAATAATAGAATAGATGCTCTTGGGTTTCAAATAAAGTGCCACATAAGTTATATAGGCTATCAGACTTTCGAATTTGGTACAATTTAAATTCAGTTTTTGGCAACTGCATTCGAACTTTGTGTTGAACTTTCTAAAATTCTATATATTAATTTAATATGATTGCTTTTTATGAAACTTTCCAATTTGGTCATTCTGATACCCTTATGTTTTCATCTAGACAACATACTTTTCTTTTTAAAGGCTGACTTTAGACCTCCAAACACAATTCTAGAAAAATGAAATTATTTCTTTTTTACACTCATGAGATATGCCCCTCATCTCAACCTCGTTTTTATAATCAATACTTTACCTCTGTGTGAATACAGTTTTTTTTATCTGTATGAATGTTATAACCATGATGCACCAACAAAGTTTTTATGTATACGTTTTCCGTTGGTATTTTGGTGCTTGTATTTCTACATGCGCGCGAATGGCACATGCCATTGTTTTTGCTTGGATTATAAATTTAGAAAGGGGCTATAGGACATTCGTGTCTTATTGGTCGGGGCCATGTCAATGAAAGTATCCTAGGACATTTCATAAGAGCTGTCTTGGACATAATTTTTGATGGTCTCAGGACGTGTCTTAGACATGTCTTAGGACGTAAAACAAAGCTATCTTAGGACAGTCCTACCTAATATTGTCCTAGGACCATCCTAACATATTTATGTGATTAATTAAAATATGTAGAGAAATAAATGACATATATTTTAATGTATATATGTAAAGGGCGGAAGGTGTAATCTTTATGGAAAATATAATTTACGCAAAATAAAGTTTTAACGAAATATTGATAATATACTATAACAATGAAAATAAATTTCATGCAACAACAAAACTAAATGGTCACAAAATTGTGTTAGAGGCGATATTCGTGCTGTAATTTTAGCTAGATAAACCATTCATCTTGTGCGTGAGTGTGGCTAAAAAGGGGAGTGGGACTTTCCTTTGGGACCAAGAATTTGTTCCCATCTTGATTTAAAAACTTATTCATTTTTTTAGAACAAAAAAAAGATTATTTATTCAAAATTGAGTGTTGAATTTCATAATTTTTTATCAAAACTAAATATTTGTTATACTTTCTTCCTGATTTTTTTCTCAAGAAATCATAGAACACAATAAATGTTTAGATCTTAATTATGCGTGTCTGTTTTAGATCCATTTCATAAGACCAATGTTGATGGGACCCTTTATAAATACAGTTTTCTATTATTCCTGGAGTAGATAATAGTTTTTTTTTAATCTTTGGGAAATTATCCAATTCGTTTTTATGTTAAATTATTTCACTTCATAATTTTTGATGAAGAAAATCCATTTTAATTCAAAATGTTTCAATTAAAATGATGATTTTTATTTTCATCTATCAACAAACTTGATTACAGGTAAAGCAGTAATTTTCCATATGACAGTCGCTAGTACCCTGGGGTGTGTATAACGTATTTGGAATACCTTAATTGTATGGGGAACATCCTGTCCACGTGTAATACTTAATATATATTGCAACAGATGACATTACACACTTTTTTTTCTGTTAAATCAAGGATTTGTATAGTAAGACTATACAAATCCTTGGAAGAATTCGGATACAATAATAATTTGCTATTTATAAAAACCACATTTTGGTACAAAAATTGTTTATTTGCCATATTAATTGTCGAGAATACGTGAATAAAAGAAGAAAACGTTCTACATGTTATAATTTGTAATCGATCTATAGAATGCTCAAGTATACAAGTGACACGTCACAAAGTCTTTACGTTACAATATAAGAAATAAGTGACGTTCCCGCGTTATGTTTGCGTCGTATTTACAACATTAATATTGAATATTATGCATGTAGAATGAAATATGTCTACAGTATGATTGGTTTTAATCATTTAGCAATTATTTATAAGATTTAGGAATCAACATTTGTAATTATTTACATACCAAAATTTGTATTGGTAATACTTTAAATTTCATAGCCATATTTGTATTTATAGAAATATTTATATACCCAAATTTTCAATTATGTTTCATGCCCAACTTTTGTTTTTGTTGTAACAAGCTTAACTGAAACAGCAGTACATTTTTAAAGAGAAATAAAGATAAAGTTATATCATGTATATTGGTCATGATTTGTAAAACTCAGAATTGTCAAGTAAATTTAAGACACAATTCAAAATGTTCATAATATGTCAAGCCATACTGAGTAAAAATAAGAATCTTGAGAATCTGTCGAGAAATTTCATGACAGTATTCAAATGTCAAGAATTTGTCAAGAAATTCTAAGACCATATTCAGAGTGTCGAGAATTTGTCGAGTAAATTTCATACAAATTTAATATAAATGGGACTTTGTCGAGAAAAATTAAGACACAAGTCATACATTTGGAGAATGTCGAGTACTTTTTCATGCAAATCAAGACAAAAATTGGTCTTTTCAGACTTTTGGACTTTTGTAGTGTAATGTAATATGAATATTTGCCCTGTTTTGTACTAGAAAGACACGAAGAGTCGGAGTTTTAACGTGCTAGTTCACAAGGTAACATACTTACAGTCCGCTAGAAACATGTCACCTTACCCGGACACATTATTCTGACTCCGAGCCGACCAGTCTTAGCTCTTATTTCTTAATGACGTGTGCTCAGCGGAGCAGCAGGAAATACCAATTTTAAAGTCTTTGGTTTAATGAGGATATCAAAGCGAGTCCGATAAAATATGTGGATATTGAAATACCAGCGGGGTCTCAACGTCATTTAAGCGGTCTCTGGTAGGTTTTCACTATACATTTTGAATATCAAACTGGCACTTTGAGCCCTCCGTAAACATAGAAGGCAAGAGGTTTACCCAATTTTCTTTTGGTCTCGTTTGTATCGTTATATTAACTAACTATCTGCATAATATTGGAAAGATTGAGAGATCAAGGGGTCTCACCATCGCCCTGTGCCCTTTGAAATGAATTTTCGACAATTTTTAGTTCAAAAGTGACAATTTAAGCCCTC